ATATTTTGTCAAAAGGTTCTTTTCCTTAAGAAAGGATACACTGGATTATGTCTTATATTTGGAGACATTGTTTTTCAACACATTAAGCCTGCATCTGACATACATCCAAAAAGTTTTATCATTGTCTTCTACTAGACTTCCTCGAATTTTGGCCTCGAAAATACTAGACAAAAAAATATTTTGTGCAAAAGAATTTGACAATTTGTGTATACAACACGGTTTAACCCCCTTGAGTTACTCTGACGTAAATAAAAATAATGTGAAAAGCTTGGTAGATGTTTTGAGAACTGATTTTAAAAATAAATTAAAATTTTAATTAAATTAAAACACAACGGTCTGTCTTTCATGGCTTATACAAAGAACTGAATCTAGAATTAGGAGAAAATCACCATTATTTAAATAAAAATTATAACTTGAAAATGATAAGTGTGATAATGAAAGCAAGAGGTACTCGGTCCACAGAAATGAGTAAGCGTATCGTTGTGCTTTGTGTAATTTAAGTGTGTATGAGGATGGGTTCCATTTTTTGGCGGTGTGCCCTATATTGAAGGAATACAGACTTAGGTGGTTTGGCAAATTGTTTTTAGAAAAAAATGAAGTAATCTCATTTTTGAATTGGCAGAACTGGCACAGTCTCTACAATTATGTTTTGTACTCTCTAAAATACAGAGCGTTTCTAGTCGATAATTTCAATTATTAATAAAGTATTGTGTAAATTATAACTATTTGTATTTGTATTGTTAGTATTAGTATTCGTATTATTAACATTATTAATATTATTCTGTTTTTCTTTTGGCAACTCGACAGACAGCCTGTGGGCTATTGTCTAGGATGTTTTGTACTGAATATTTTCTGTAAAATAATTTTTATTGCAAATAAACATCATTATCTATGTGTAGAGATTAGTGACCGTTAATCGATAGTTATTCAGATATCGTGAGATGCGGTCGGGTGTGATGTAGGTTTCAGAAAAACATTTTCTTTATCGTGCCAACGTTTCGATCTTTTATTGAGATCATCTTCAGGAGTGCCTCTCAACACGACACACAAGGATGGCACAATTACACAGAAGACAAACACTTTGAGCCCTGAAGATGATCTCAATAAAAGATCGAAACGTTGGCACGATAAAGAAAATGTTTTTCTGAAACCTACATCACACCCGACCGCATCTCACGATATCTGAATAACTATCATTATCTATCTATCTATCTATAGAAATAATCAGTAACTGCCAAAGTATAGTGATCAGTGATATTTAGTTCTTGGGTCTACGTGGAGCTATATGTTGTGATATGTATAATAGTAAGAGAGGGAGAGAGAGAGATTTGCAGATTGATAAATAGAAAAATATAGAGAGATAGTGCATTGACTTTTACGCCATTTTAGCACACTGTAACTTTGTGAACTGTACTTGAGTACCTTGAAATGAAAAGTATCTTATAATAGTGTAATTATCAAACTTTCTTTCGTCTCTTTCATATTCAAGGAACATCACTTGAAATTATATAATGTTGCTTGTTAATAACATCACGGCCGCCAATCCGATCCGTATGCTTGTCAGTTCGAAGCTCCTCGGAATCCTAGCAGGTTGTAATTCGAAAAAGCGGTCTTGGATAATGATCGGGCCTCGAGGAGTGCTTTCAAACAGCTTACTTTCATAATGAGCGGCCCGACGGCAAATTCGTGAGGAAAACGGCCGATTTTCCCCCATCGGAAAACCGGGTTAAACAGATTGGACCATTTACGTGTTAGGATTACAAGGGATAATCGACGCTATGGTGTACCAGGAGCAGACGACGGGGCGCGATACTGTTAACCCGTTCTGCCCCACTCGTCTGCTTAATCAAATTAACTATTTGAGACGCACGTACGTTGTTTAATTTAATCTCAATTTCAAAAGCCTATTTCATAAAGGAAAAAGTAGGAAAAGCGTACCGAAGCACAATTCTGGAACATCCATCAACTTCATTCATATTAATCATTCTTTCTAAGTTCTTGGTTGAGATAAAAAAGTCAGTGTCACGAGCGGAATTCGAACCCACGACCTTCGGCTTAATACGCCGCTGCTCTACCTTTTGAGCTATCGTGACTTCGATCCCCTCGGGCACAAACTCACCATCTCAACCTACAACAGTTAGAACTTTCCCTCTTTTTGCCATTTTAAATTAATTGATTGGAAGAACTAACTTGGTCAATTAACTACGAAAACGTAAATGAATTCATTCATAATTTTATGTTTACACTTTAACATTTGATTTAAACATACCAATACGAATCGATTTATTACTGACCTAGCAATAAACACAATAGATTACAAGATAAACAAACATCCTTAAAGAAAAATACATACATAAAAAGAAATACATTCATTCCCCCGTGTCTCTTTTCAATTTCTTCTTTCTTTGGCAAAATAACAATGCTCATCCTCCCAACTATGTAAATAATAACAGTAAATAACTTAAGAACAAGTGGTTTGACCTGTGAATGGTTAATCTTGAACCTATCCCATTAGTTTAGTCATTCTTAATAATTTTGGTTTGTTAAAAAAATTTCAACTCTGCCGTATGAGAATTGTTGTGTGTCGGTCTGAAGTTGGAGAGATGAACCATCAAACTGTGGCAAACCAAAATTATCCAAGCCAAAACTACAAGTCTACCACTAACTATAAAGAAATATCCCTGATCTCTTTAGTCTGGCCGTTCCGGTTCATTTTGGTCTACCTATGCTCGCTGGTTTGTCTGTTAGTACTATTTTAACTTTTTCTCTATCGTAAGTTTGTGTGTACTTCTTAAGATGGCCAGAAGGACGTCTGAGCGGTCGACGAAAATGATTCAAAACTAAACTGCAAATTTATCATCACATAAGGATTGAGTGATTGATTTATGTATTATTCCTAGTCGCAGCCTTTTGAAAAATGGAAAGGGTGAAAGATGTGTACATAAGTTATATTGATGTATAGATAAATAGATAGATATATAGATTTATAGATTGATAGATAGATAGTTAGAGAGAGAACGAGAAGGAAGAGAGAGAGAGAGAGAGAGAGAGAGAGAGAGGGAGGAAGGGAGGGAGGGAGAGAGACAGAGAGAGAGAGAGGGAGAGAGAGAGAGAGAGAGAAAGAGAAGGGGTGAGAGAGTGAGAGAGAGAGAGAAAGGGAGAGAGAGAGAAAGAGAGAGAAAGGGAGAGAGAGAAAGAGAGAGAGAGAGAGAAATAAAGAGAGAGACAGATAAAGAGAAGGGGAGAGAGAGTGAGAGAGAGAGAGAATGGGTGAGAGAGAAAGAGAAGGGGAGAGAAATAGAACGATAGTGAGAGAGAATGAAAGATTAATTTATATTTTTTATAGTCCCCCTTCTCTTTCTCTCCCTCTTATTTCCATTTCTCTTTCCCATTCTCTCTCTCCGCTTTCCATTTCTCTCGCCCATTCTCTCTCTCTCCATATCATTCTCACTCAGTCACTCTCTCTGTCTCTCTCTGTCTCTCTCTCTCTGTCTCTCTCTGTCTCTCTCTCTCTCTTTCTTTCTTTTTTCGCTCTCTTTACTTTTTCTCGCTCTTTCTCTCCCTTATATAAATCACTACAATTATAAGTAATTATTTACTTTTAATATAAATATAAATCCCTCTCGTACTACCTTTCTTTTCTCTCTCACGCCCTTTTTTTCTCATTTTTTAGGTAAAACCGATAAAACATTATTGACTTATTTTGTTTATCATGTATGAGCGAAGCAATCGTTTAATTGAGTTATAGGTTCCGCTTGGGAGGAAAATAATTTCATTAATGATTTTATTGTTACCTCCGCCGTCCGTATTTTGGCTTCTGAGCTTGTTTTTATTATATTGAGTGGTGCCGGAAGATAGAAACGGTCGAATTATAATAATGTAAAGAAGCCTTCAGACCGTTGCGACTCATTCAAGAAGTAACGGTACCCTGTGAGAAGAGACATAGCGCCAGAGCCGAGAGGATTGTCGCAATTTGTACGAAATGAAAAGGTGTAGGATGAAAATGGACTATTTGCTCACCATTGTAACAAAATAGATAGTCATGTTTTTTGTCCTTTTTAATTTGAATATGCGATGAACTTGCGGCTTTTACATTTAAGCTCGAAACGGGTTTACACGTTCGGATGGGACCGAGATTTATCGGCCAGCTCAACCATAACCGTTTCCTTTTCGCGGTGGATTTGGGTCACCTTGATTCAACGCGTAGGAGAGATCCAGGTAGAAAAATTTCAACCTGTTCCCTGAACGTTCAACCTGCGGATGAACACGTGTTTACACAACGAAATTTATTCAAACCTGATTTTTTTATTGCATTAAAAATTCAACTTCTGGGATATTTATCAGACTTATAAGTGTATTGAGGTTACAAAGGGAATGAATCTGTCTTTTAGAATAAATGTTTAACCCTGTTAAAACATAGAAAAGCTGTATTTGCATATAGAATGGAATTGTGTGTTCTTGCGTTTACAGTTAGGCCTTTTACTTAGAGACTTTCTTCGACCTTTCAAACGGCTCGCCCCACTGAGCGAGCTTTGGAAGACAGACGAATTGATTGATATTGATACGTCGATGATTGATGAACTTCGGGTTTGAAGTTTAGGGAGTAATGCACTGCAATTAGCGTCAAACCTCAATTCAACAAACGCCTGCCGATTCTATTGTTTTTCTCCGGACGGTTCGTGACCGTCGGTAAGGCAAACACGGTCTGCGGTCTACGTCTTCCTCTTCCTGTGGACCGCAGGAGCAACGGAAAAAACGTTCCGTTCCATATTTTTTTCTATTAGGTGGATCCTGTGAATGTTACGGTATTCTTAAGAGAGATTTTTAAACCACAAGATCTTTTTTTGGAAGGGCGTCGTGGAGACGTAATAAACAGTGGTTTTTCCTGTTCCCAGCCACAAATATGGAATTGTCAACCTAAAACTGACATAAAATCTTTTTTTATTTCTAAATATATCTTATTTCTAAATAAATATTATTATAAAACTTTTCTTTTACAGATGGTGACGAAAGCTGCATGGGCACTCTACAGGCTGATTTTCTGCGTAGCCGTCTGCAGTGCTGCCACGAGTTTCGGTGAGTGTCGAAACCCTCCGCTGAATATAATCACTCTTAGCGCTAAACATAATTAACAAATAGTTTTATTATATTCCCGTTACGCAATCCTAGCTTCATCCCATAGTCATCAGGAGTTAATGAAACTGTGAGAAGCTTTCTGAGATTGATAACGGTCAATGTCCTATCCTTGTGAGAAAAACAGCCGTGTGCAACCGAAACGGTTAATAGGCCGTTTGAATGTGAGAGTATGCAGCAAAGAAACGGAATAAAGTATAATCCGCCTTTTGATAGCCTCGTGATGGAGAATATAAAAGATTTACGGCCTATGGAATCTAACGTTTTCCCAATCACGGAATAAATATTGGCACAGTTAGTCGTTCTCTTTCTTTTCTTTTTAATTACTAGGACGCCATTTACTCCTGTTCCTTCAGTTTAGTTTAGACTATTGTTTCAGATTTGTAGACGAAACGTAATCAGGTCGGAACAAGAACGAACGGAGAATTGACGACAATCCAATGGGAGAAAATAGTGCAAAATGATAAGTTTCTTATTTATAAAAATGTAAGGTGATATTAATTAACATAGTTGTACAGTTAATTGTCAACACAATATTATCATCTTTTACTAGAATACAAATACCTTCAAAGTAGCAGTTTATTTATAGCAGTTAGCAGATAGATAACATGCTTTATTTACATTAAAAAGGAGCATTATATATTATACAATACTTAAATCATTTTATAGCATGGATGGTTATCCGTCTGCCGGAAGTTGGCTGTTCCAAAAGCAACCCGGAACGCGTTTTATACCCTAGATACAGGATACCTCTGTCAGCATGGGACACTGGGCCGCAAAATGAAAGATATCTTCCCTCTTAGGTTATAGAACGCACACAAAAAATTTCCGTCGTCTTCCTTCCATGGCACAGCAGTGAGGAATACTTGCTCGCATCTAAGTTTAAGTAGCCATCGAAGTGTCGGGAGTTTCATAGAACTACTATCTGGAACGTTTAAGTCAAAAGTTGACTTAAGTCTACGGCCTTAAAAAGAAGATACCTGTTTGAGCACAGAACTCGATGCTCACACAGTCACGATGTTGATCACCTAGCCTGCACAAAAGTTCCCCGGGATAATTGGGCCAACTCGAGAGGTTTTCTAAACAAAAAGAACCATATTGAAAAACTAATGTATGCCATTGACGAAACCAAGAACCATTAGATTTAATAACCTCGAGAGCAGTAATTTTGGAGATTCTAGCAACAGGGCCATTGAGTACCCGTAAACAAATAAAGGCAAGGTAAGCGTAAAAAGGAAAATTGTATCCACTGCCGTCTCAATACAAAGAATGTAGTTTGGAGTGGAGTTAAGCAATGAGAAGATCTTCCTAATAAAAAAACGTACTCTTTCAATCTCTACATAACGCTGGAACCCCCACGACTGGCCTGCATAACGTAAAATAGAACGGCACACTGTATTAAATACCTTGTATTTGGGAAAAACAGGGATTAGCTTCTGGGCCAAAAAGTCACACTATGTTCTATTCAAAGCAACCTTCGCCACTGAAGCTTTGATTTTTAGATGAGGGGTAAAAGAGAGATCTGGGAGTAAGGACAACAGCAGTTAGTAATTGTACGCTTTCCTTTGAGATTAATACTGCAGAGGGTCTTCGGGGCGTTTTCTTTCAAACATTCTCACGTTGCGTATTGGAGATCTATTTCCTCTTGAGCATGTTGCGGTGGTTTATCATTACAATGTGGAGCATTTCATATAAAAACTTAATGTTAGGACTAGGAAAATAAATGGTCACTAGATTCCGGAGGCCGGGAGCAGATGATTGCCAGGAGGAAGGAGAAACAAAGGACATATCCTCTGGAGGTGCGAAGGTTGCAGGCTGAGATTCCCACTCCTGGGAAAGGAAAAGCCTACAAGAGAATCCTTGAGAAAACTTCTTGATTTGACAAAATATCTGCAGCTTTAACGAAGAGCTCTAGATAGTAATGGAGATTGCACAATAGAACAATATTGGTCACAGTGCGTAAGGTCGTCAAGAGGCTGACACTTTTTAACCATAACCTTAACCTTCTTAACCTCTTTAATTAGTATGTAGTAGATAGATCAATCGTAAGACTTTGTTTGTTTGATTTTTTTATTAGATTATGTCTACTCTCTACAAAAGATATGATGAGAGTTTTTGAATACTGCCAAGTTCAATGGGTGATCTGCTGCTCAAGAGGTGTTCGTTTCATCATTTTTTTATTACAATTTCATATGTACATGTTTACATACAGTACATGACCAACAGAGGTTACCTGTATTATGTATATTGACGGACTGAGGGAGTGTGAATTGTGGTAAATTTGAACATCACGAGTTTCAACATGCGTGGCCAATAATATCCATCCAAAAAAACAGTGGGCCTAGTATGCTCTCTTGGGGCACTCTTATTTTTTTTAGGAACGAAGCCATCAATAGCCACTATAGACTTCCGAAAATTTATGAGCCTGTCCGATTGAGTAGCAAACCACTTAAATAATATACCTCCAACTTTCTGATGAGTATATCATGACGAACCGCGTGAAAGATTTAGATAAATCTAGGAATATTCCGACTGCATGGTCTCCCTCGCCCAAAGAAAGATTCAGTGTCATGAACTTCTTGAAGTTCTTCGCACAGCAAATTGTTTCGAAGTAAACACAAACTGAACAATTGACAATATCAGATTTAATAAGAGTTTTTATAAATATTCTTATTTGCATAAACTTTATTGTTTTCTCAACGCATCATGCACCAAACATACCGCCCACCTAAAACCTACTAAGATTTAGTATAAATTTTCCTGGACGCCTATTTTGTGAAATTGGTACAAGACTGTTTTATTATAAAAACATTCTTCCTATTATTAAATAATTTCTCATAGAAGCACATCATTCCGATACAAATCGACAAGCTAGATCTGTTGAGAATAATTTTATTCTCTTCTTAATAGAAATTACGGCAAAATACAAAAAAAATATTACATGTCGAATAGGGTCAAAAGCTTTGGATATATCCAGTACTAGTCCAACTATCTTCCTCATCCAAAGAAGAGTGCCAGTGGCAACTCCTTGAGAAATTTTTCTAAGCAAATAATTTCCAGTGAAGGCAGATTATTCCGACCTGACGAATCTGGTTGAGTTGCTGTTGAAGAATAATTTTATCCTATTTTGATGGATTATATGATTATCGCAACTTTGATATGGCTTTGTAACCTATTTTTTCTATAATTTTCAATGGTATTATCACAAATTTTTAAATAATTCTATATCTAAGTGTTCTTCCTATATCCAAATGTAATTTCTCCAATAAAATTTAGTAGTAGGACAGAATTAAGGAAAGGCTTAACCATAAATTATACCAGGAGGCGGCGGAGGCCGCAACGATTGAGGCGTTGACACGACTCTCATCACTGTAAGGTAAAGGTCCCGGGTTCGAATCCAGCTGCCCTGCATTCGAACCCGACATACTGACAAATGGGCTTTTTTTTCAAAAGCATCCGCACCCTCAGGGTTTATATGACCATTGCTGTTGCAAACCCTCGTAAAAAAACATACCGCCCACCTAAAATCTGCCAGAATTAAATTTAAATCTTTCTTGACGCCTGTATTAGTAAAGTCACGCAAAGCAGTTTTATTATTTTTAAAAAAATCCCACGTAAAGCAATTTTCACGAAGGCCCAATGTAACTCAAGCAGACAGAACTGTTGAATAATAAATTTATTAACCTAAATAATATCAAAATTTTGATTTCCCTAGATGAGGATATTAGGAAATAAATACATTTTTTTTTTAATGTTTGGTAAATAACTTTTCATGTAGGCAGTTCATATCAATTATCTCAAGAGAAAGATCTGTTGAAAAATAATTTTATTCTCTATTTAATTAAAAATCTATTTTTTCTTTAGAGTTTTTATAGTTTTCTAAAACTTTATGACAAATTTTTAAATGTTTCCATAAGTGGGTTTCCCTAGATCCAAAAGTAGTTTCATATTACAAATCAAATTTAGTAGAGAATTTAGAGCATTAAGCAATGGCTTAACAATAAAAAATAACAAAGGTAATAACATTCTTTATCAACAAGCCTATTTATATAAACGGATCAAGGGATTAACGCGTCACGCACCAAACATACCGCCCACCTAAAATCTACCAAAATTAAATTTAAACCTTTTTTGATGCCTATAAAGGATGCAAGACAATTGTAATATTTGAAAGAAAATTTCCCTATTAAAGCAATTTTCATGAAGGCACATCCCGATGTAATTCAAGCACAAGAGCTAAAAAATAATTTTATTCTTTCTTTAATTGACATTTCAAACTATTTCTTGTTGTGGCTTTCTGTAGATTTCGAGAAGGTGATCACAATTTTCTAAGTATTACCATAACCAAGTGTGCTTATCCAAATCCAAAAGTAATTTGGTATTACAAATAAAATTTAGTAGTAAAGCAGTAAGCAGTAACCATAACAATAAATTATAACAAAGGGAATAAAAAGTTTTATTAATATTCTATTTATACAAACTGATCAATGACTCAACGCGTCTCGTACCAAACATACCGCCCACCTAAAATCTACCAGAATTACATTAAAAAGTTTCTTGACACGTGTTAGGAGAGGGATATAAGAGATATTATTTTTTTTAAAAATCTTTGTTTTTCTTCTATTTCTTGGCAAGTAGTTCGTTGGATAAATGTTTGTGTAACTTGTTTTTTCTTCCTGTTCTTTTATTGTCATTATATAGAAGTTTTAAAGACTTATTTCTTTTTTTTTGGGAAAAAACCATGTCACTGTAAAAAAAATGGTTTTGTGAATTGTAGAATTTCTACCTCGTAATCTTATCTGAAAAGATTAACAGTCCTAGACATGTCAGTATGCCCGTTGGTCAAAAGGTATCGGCAAAAGATTTATTAGATGGGTGGACCGGAGAAATCCGAATTAACAATTCGATACGGGGGTCAGGTGTAAACCATTTGTTTCTTTCTG